TACCCCTGCGTCCCATATCTTGCCTGGTATATGTGATCCTGTTCCAAGAACATTGTCCTGGGTCGTGTTCCCGCCGTTCGAGCGCGAGAACAAGAAGCCCGCGTCATGAACAGGCCATGATGTGGTGTAAGGCTAATCTACCTATTCAAGATAAACTAGTCAAGCATGCAGCGTTCGCGCGTACGTGCGCTTGCACATTGTTGAAGCTGCCCGTAGGAATATACATGCGATCACCGTGGCCATGGCGGTCAACACGTGGTGGTATTGTTTACATTTAGTCACGTGGGTGGAAAAGGTCTATTGAGTATGCGACAAAGCCGAGATGGGCAGAAAGATTGTTAATCGTGATTTTTGTTCACAGATCTTCGTCAAGAGGAGAGAAATGCAGGAATGTCACACAAAAGTGCGTTTTGATGTTCCTCACGGGATTTTTGTTGACCTCACGGGACCTTAAAATTTTGCTTTGGGGAAAGATTCTGCTACCGTGACGATGGAAACATAGGAAACTGCAAGGCTCTAACTTGTTAGTTTCGGATGGATTCTGCTTGTCCAAAGTACAAAGGGCACGGGTTGAATAGGCACCTAAGGGTGGTATACAGCCCACAAAGCTTTGCGTTTGCTTGCGAAAGACAAGTTTTGAGGAACTTTCAATATCAGTCCCGCTGGATAAGGCATTATGTTGATGAATGCGGGATTTTGTATGGCCAACAAAGTGGCGTGCTATGAGTGGTTGGGACGCTTTAGTTGTTTTAAGGTACATGTATCTCACATTTCTTCATGGCATCTTAAAGACTAAAACTTGAGAGACCCTCATGGAGTATTTGGAGAAGTCCTGACATGAAACGCAAGATATCTGGAAATTCATTTCATTATCTCCAAAAGATTACTTGAAAATCTATTTTAAGATATCTTACAGGGGACATCTCACGATGTCGCAGTCTTACTTTTAATTTTGTCAACTTTTTGTGACATTGGTGGCGCTATTCACAACCTGCACGCAGAGCGTGCGGGCAGCTCTTCGCGAATTTCAGTTGGAAAGATGTACAGGATTTCTAACATTTCAATATTTTGTATTAAAACCCCTTTTTATTAAAGTGTTCGAGGCTTGCAGGGAAAATGTTGATAGGAAAAAGTATGCAATTATTTGCTCCACAAGTCAGCCAAACATCATTGACCTGTCGCCAGTGGCATATACAGCTTTTGGTTTCGGGAGGGGGGGGATTCAAAAGCAAATACACGTTCGAGCTAATTCAAAATGATAATGAGGGAGAAAAATGGTAGTCTTTGTATTTGACAAATAAATATATCGATTAAGTTTATTTCCTACTCACCTGTGAAGTATTCTCAGTTGAAAAAGAACTAAAAACAAAATATAAAAAAATAATATTCTGTCGGGGGAAGATCACCCCCCCCCGCTGGATACGCCCCTGCCTGTCGCTTACCCTACCGTAATCACATGTGTATCATGCAGTCAACTTATTAAATTTGGTCAATGTTTCATTAAAGCTTTTTATCATCATACCCCCCCCTCGCCTTCCGCCCATTGTATTAAAAAAAAACATCAACCACATCGTCCAAATGGGGCGGAGGCATAGGCACTGCCACCCATATGCGCAAGTGCCGCAGTTCTAGGAACCAGTCAAAGTCATAACAAAGATCACAAGCGTTTTAGTGAGCATACATGTATACGATCACGCGTAGTGTGCATTTTCAAAGTAGGCATGCAGAAGATGGATACTTACGAATTTTGCCCTTAACTGAAGGCTCCGGTACTATCATCAAAGAGGCTCCCCGTTGTAGCTTGTGGAAACTTGACATACACACTACAAGCACCGTCTATCCAGGAAAACGTTTTCGCGTCAAGTAAAGGCGCCCTTCCATATGTGCGTCAACACTTGCGCCAGAGGTTGCATATCCGTCAAAACCGCAGTGTTCTCGGAGTGAGTTTGACGGCCGAAGGTAACGCACATGTATGTTATGTTAACGGAGTCGATTTGTTGTCCGTGAAAGTGCAAGTAGGAGGCCCGTGGCGTATCCATGAGGAGAGGGCTACTTGCCCAACCCGGACATGTTGCCGATTTTGTCAACTGAGATCGAAAGCGCCAATTCTAATAAAACCGTGATAAGCATTTTTCGGGGAGAGAGATTCTTTTTCGGGTTAAAAAAAGACAGACGGCCATTTAAACGAATCCATATCCCTCTCCTTGACTGAAACCTATCACTCAATAGTATTGAGAGTCTTTTTTCTGAGAAGTATCGAGTCGGAAAAAGCAAAGTCAATGAAATATTTATCCAGGATAAACTGATACCGCATGCAGCCGAATTCAGCCTGTTGAATTGAAAAAAAGTAACGACTCTCAACTCGCAAGTAGATATCGGTACATCTCTGTTTTTAATAATGAATCATTTGAAGGATGAATGTACAGAATATTATCATTGACTAATTAATATGCCCTTATTCGACTAATCTGACAGAATTTTGTCTTCCACTTCAATCGCACTTTCTCGCAATCGCTATTAGTAACCTAATATTGTGTAATATTGCGTTGGCTTACGTTACCCTTTCGAACAAAGTCCAAACGTTTGGAAAATGGTGATTAATACGGGCATTTCACAATAGTGCGCCTCCAAGAGTTTGCAACGCGTTGGCCAATCACAATGAGCGGAATTTGTCGACCCAACACGTGTTTGGAAAGGTTCGACAAATTCCACGCGTTGTGATTGGCCAACACGTTGCAAACTCTTGGAGGCGCACTATTGTGAATAGCCCGTATCACTGAGCGGTTCGCATCGAAATCCAGGTTTACCCTTTTCCAAGGCACGTTGTACACTGCACTATAGCGGCTCTTATCCTTGACATAATGGATTTGTTCCATGTATTTGTTTCGTCTGTTAGATGCTTGTTTCGTTTTTGTTTCGTTCCTTGTGTATTTTGTTTCGTCTTTTATAATACAATGTGTGTTTGTTTCGTGCTATTTCGTTTAATAATAACATTATAAAGGGCCCCTAATACTCTACACAATGACACAAGTTAAAATGGCCGTCATTACCGGTAACAATCCAGAGGACCGCTCGGCAAGAAAAAGAAAAAAAGTTCCAAATTTGTGAATACCTGGAAGTTGTATTCCCCAATAACATAAATACTACACTTTTATTCAGATGTGCAATCGACTCTTACCCAGCAGTGCGGGCGTTTCACAATACTGCGCCTCCAAGAGTTTGCAACGCACTAGCCAATCATAATGAGCGAAATCTGTCAACCCAATGCGTGTTTGGATAGGGTCGACAGATTTCGCGCATTGTGATTGGCCAACGCGTTGGAAACTATTGGAGGCGTACTATTGTGAATCACCCGTATTGTGAATATTAAAAAAGACTTTCTTAGATAATATGGGTTATTATAAACCATTCAAGACCAGTGATAGGCTCTCGACAATAGGGGTGGGTAAACTGTCCGAGCAAGGTATTAATGAATGTTATTTATCAAATCTTTCTGACAATACGAGACGAGCACAAAATAATATTTTTTTGCCCTTAAGGTGCTCCCTAAAATTACAAAGTCTCACAGTCACTCTAAATCTATCCACTTTCTAATTTTTTTTTTAAAGGTATAAGAACTGTTATAAAGTATAAGAAAATGTTACATTTTCTTCTTCGGGTTTGGAAACCTGGTGACTGATATACCCCACGTGTTTCTGATGATGGAATGACAAACTTTTCAAACTTCATCAACAATACTGGTCAGTTTTCTGATTATGGGTATTTATGTGTTTCACTCTAAATCGTGTCTAATTTGAGAATGGGACATTTCCAAGGTTGTATTTGAATCATTTCTCTGAATTCGTTTTCAGCATCATATTTATAACCAATCTGCATTTTTGGACCGAATTTGGACAAAATCAGTGCCGAGGGTTGGGAGATTTCCTCTGGAAAGGAGAAGCAGAAGGAGTATCCAGCAGAGAATCAAACCTCACCTTTTAATTTGATCTCAGAATAAAGATCCAGCATGTCTCCTTTCCTGTTGTGTCACTTTGAAAGACTGCATTACGTTCAACAGAAAAATCTACGTTTGAAGCAACTTCCGAACCTTCGTCCCTTTTATGTTGATTGCAGTTAAAATTGAACAAGACACGGTAGAAGTTCGTCGTTTGAAGCGGGCCTTAAACACTATTCCATTGAAGCGAATTCTGCTACCAATGTTCGTGACGTCAAAATTATTTCGCTTTCGCGTTCTCCTGAACTATGATCCGGCCTTAACACACGCACATAGACCTATGTTAGATTACGAAGATGTTTGGCAATATAGAGGGTTTGCATGGCTGCCATCTTGCAGGCCAGTGCACGTGCACAAAGGAGGCCTCCTTATGGAACAAATGTACTGCCCTGCAAGATGGCTACCACGCAAAGCCTATATTGCATATAACTCTACTGTGCTTTACAAGACGGTGATCATTGTCCAAATACATATAACTGTCACTCATATTTTACAAAACTACAGTGGCAATAGCTTGATGACATCAGTTACATTTGGTCTTGCAAAGAGTCATTTTATAGATTTTATAGACCGTAAGAGTATGACGATGATTGACGTCTAGGAAATACAACGACAAATGCAAGGACCCATAGAGAAAATCATGTTTCCAGGACCCTAACACGCAGAAACACTCAAATTGTGTGCTTGAGCTAAACCATGAAGCTTCTTTCAATATACAGTCATATTAATGCTGTAACTCTTAGGGTCTATTTGTTTCACAAGGATCTGGATGCTGATCAGTGGTCCCTTCGCTGATTGCTCAATTAACCTATTATATTGTCAAGCTCTCTGTTTTTTATAAGGTCTTTTTGTTTGTAATGTGTACGACGTGACTCAGTTGACAGTAGTGTTTACCGTCTGAAGGGTAATACGAGGTTGGGCGGAGGAACCACCCAGACTTGCGGACTCACCCAACCGCCTGCCGCGGCCTAAAATCTGGCGTAGCCCGGCCTGAAAGGAGCGGTACTTGAGAGCGTAGATCACGGGGTTGACACACGAATTAGCCGTCACGAAGGCCAGAGACACGACATGGAGTGGTCCCCCCATGGCTGTGAACCAGCCGAAGTTGAAGAGGAAGAAGATGATCTCGTTGGGAGACCAGCAGATGACGTAGGCCACGAAGACCAAGAGCAGCGCCTTGAAGGTGTTGCGCCTTGCCTTCATGAGGGACCCGTCTTGAGTCTCCCCCTGCGACGGTCCCGTCCGAGTCTGGGCGGATTCGCCGGCCGGACGGGGCCGGGGCAGCGGAGCGACTTTGGCGGCACTCCTCTTCAGCGTTACAGCGATGTGGGTGTAAGCCACCAGCATGATAACGAGTGGGAGGAAAAATTGGATCGTAAAGACAAGCACCCCGAAAATCTGCGAACCGGTAACGACATTATCCACGCATTTGTCTCCCTGGTTGATGACTGTGAATGCGGCATAGGTTCCAACGATGCTGCCAAACAGCCAAACGAACACGATGGCAAGGGTGGCTTGGACACGCCCAAACAGAGCCTGGTACCGGAACGGGAACACAATGGCAAGGTAGCGCTCCAGGGTCAACATCATCAGGTTGAAGGTAGACGTGCTCAAGAAGAACCACAGCGCGAAAGTCGAGGTCCAGAGCCGGCAGATGAGCACCCCAGCCGGGCCCGTCGGGTAGGAGACTGGCAGGGGGATGTTCGCGCTCAGCAGGAACACCACAGAGGCTAGGAAATCAACCACGGCTTGGTTGAAGATGAAAGCGTTGGTCATGGTGTGCATGGATTGCACCTTGTAGATAACAACACAGACGGTAGTGTTACCAACAATGCCCAGCACTCCCACCACTGTTTGCACCACACGCAGAAAAGCTTCCAAAGCCATTTAAAAACTAAACTGATGAACGATTCAGTAGAATATAAAACTAATCAGTGTCTAATGTGAAGCTGTTCACGCTTTGAAATAAATTTCAGACACGTTTTTTATATGATAATTGCCAAGAAACAAAATTTACAGTTGGTAGTATGAGATAGTGTAGCTGAAATCTCTGTCTTCAACGGTACGAACGCCTTGTAACGAAGACTGTATCCGGAACTGTTTGGCCCAACTTTTCCTCGCAGCCAACACAACAGCAGTGCATTTAGTAAATGACAGTTTGTGGCCGTGGATTTTTTTTCTTCTTTGAATCATACCTAGCCAGAACCAATCAGTTTGCTCGGTCGATATCAGGTGTCGAGTTAGTTGCTGTTGTGATACATTTGCGTTATTCTGGAACTGCGCAGGCGTGGTGTTACGAAATCATTGAAACAACGCACCTGACAATAATTTGGTGATTAGACTGTCACCCATCGGGTTTGCAGTGACCAATCTTTCTTCCCCCGACGATAATTGCTCGCGTATACATTTATATAGGCCTACGGTAACAATTTTAAACTTGACAAGAGCATCAAGTATTGGATGTACGCCCAAGTGTGACTTCACGATGATGTCATCATGTATCATATTACAACCGATTTCGGTCAGAAAAAACTCCTTTTATCATTTGCATCTCATAATTCATAAATGTATGAATATCATAGTTTGTGATCTGACAAATCTTGAGCTTGGGGAACAATTTTATTGGATGTCAAAGTTGCATGACCCTTGCTTGCGGAGTTAATGAAGGGTCAGACCTCAGGTACATTTGTAAAACCAACCCCTAAAATTAAGATATCGATCAATACCTGCCAAACAGTCCAGGATATTAACACGAAACATTTGTGAAGTCACTATGACGTCTTAAAGGTATCACATTACTTTTAATAATTTACGTCCAAAGCTAAAGAAATGGTTCAGATTTTCACTCTGAAATTGAGTGAGGTAGTACGATAGGATCTTTGGACCAGATAGACCAGATCTTGGATAAAATTATCGATTTCAATGGAAAGTCACATGACCTCGACTTCTGAGTAACCGGAAGTATAATGATATGGACTCGCAACTCAAAATAGAAGGATTTTTCTACATCCAACCAATTTACTAAAATGTTAAGAGTTCTGAGCATTATACTTGCTGACAGGGTTACATAACAGGGCGCCTTCTTATGGCACATCAAAGACAATTAATTGTATCCATTTCAGATTTGCTTGCCCAACTTTTATGGATGAAAACTTACTTGTGAGACAAAAAAATTATTTTGTAAAATGTAAAAAACGACGTCATCATCCTGACTGATGTTATTTAAGGAAATTTGCGAAATTGACTTCGTCATCTAAAACGTTTGCTCCTGGCACAAAACTAGATCGATTATTTTCCGACAACACACATCAAAATTCGATGATGCAAACCCCCCATAAATCACTTATTTTTATTACATGTAAAGCAAACACGTCTCGTCTAGTTATATACACCTTTTGCAGACACATTGGATGACCGGTTCTCTTCGTCTTAATTAAAAAAAAAAAGAAATGCGTAGACGGTTGTCGTGGTAATAGTACTGGATGGATTGCAAATCCAGACGCTTAGGCTAACCATGATAAATACACGTCCGTTGGTGACAAGGAATAGGACGGGGGGGGACCTGCATGGCCTTGACAACTAGCATAAGCTGCCCTGCACAAGCTTTACAAGGAAAACGATTTCATTAGGATGGCATTGAATGGATTAAAAACCGATTTCTCCCAGACAGTTACATGAAGCCAAACATAAAACGGGAAAAAAATGAAGAATCTGCGGAGATCACGAACTGGAACTCCGACAATCAAAGAGGCCCATGCATTACAGAACCAGTAAGTCGCGCTTTTTTATATACACATAAAAACAGAACGGAACTATAATCTTTTGAGCGTACTCCCTATAGACAGACTCCACATCCGTGTCTTCGAGACGACCTCGAGCATCGCTTTATTTCGTCGGATGTTGGCTTGCTACAAGTCGGTCCATTTTTTTCCCTCAAATCCATAGAGTCAAGCACGATATCACAAGAAATTCCAATACAACTACGTGTACTTGAACAGATGAATTGTTGGCGAGGTCGTCTGAAAATCAAAATCATTCTCACGTAATTGCTTTCCATTCGAAGTTATCACGATCCCTTAGACGGTCTCCTTGCCCCCCCCACATAATTCTCTTTCTCAAACGTGCGATCAAGGGTGGGACCCAGAACCAAATTCTCGGGGATTTGGGGATTTGGAAATTTCTTTCATGTTATCTTTAATCTTTAAGAAGGGTAAGGGTGCCTTTGGGGGCTTTGTGTGAAACTTTCAGGAACAGAAATGAAATAAGAGGGCCTGTTTTTTGGGGGGTGGGGATGGCCCCAGCTAGATCAGCCCTGGCCTTGCATGACATATGTATAGAATTCTCTCTCAGTGATTGCAACCAAAGCAATGCATGTCAGTTATCTAACCTTTCAGTTGGACAATCTGGTGTTATTTTAAAAGATGGGTAAAATGCACAAATATTAAGAGCGTATTATGCGACTTTGACGAGTGTGTGACATGTACAACATTGCGTATTATGCGACTTTGCTGAGCGTGATGGTTTCACCAGGTGACAGATCGCATGTTTTCTCTGCCTGGCGAAGCCGATCGGTATAGAACACTCAGTTTCACTGAATGAAATTACTCTTTCCATTGCATGATTGTGAAACATCCATTACTTTGTTATATGCAGACGGAAATGTTTCTGTGATCTGTGTCCACGGCAGAGCTGGATCAGCTTACAGTGTAAAACACGTAGATGGTGCTGCAATGGTGCTGTAAAACAAACCAACGGAGAACAAATTCTAGCCGAGCGAAATCGACGGTGTTATTAAATTCAATTGTTTTCAATTGTTGTTTTCATATTCAATATCTGGATAATCTGCAAAGCTTCTGCACTGAGAAATTGAAACTAACAACGGGACAAAGGGTTTAGGGATCGGCCAAAAATCATTACTAGCAACCACTCTATGCCCAAAGTTGTTATGCACGCATAGTTTTTACTTTGCACATTTGTTTTTCTCAGCTTATACCTTCCCAAGCACAGACACCTGCCTGTTGATTAAATTTTTTTTGTAAATTTTGCACGTAAAAGTTTCAGCATGCAGAGGATTGGCAAGTTGCAAAGACCTTTTCCGTGTGATTTACGAGGGTAACCACCGCACCTGTTTGAAATCATATTACTGCACGTCAAATGAAAGTGAAACACACGTGATTATATGCAAGGGCGTCACCAGGGTATTTTATCGGGGGGGGGACAGAGTAGTTAAAAAATAAGCTAAAAAACAAGGGCAGAAGAGATAAATTCTGAAGTATTTTCAAGCAACATTTAATTTTTATCCCATTCATTTCTTTTCTTCGTTTCCCCCTTTTTTCAAGGGTGGCAGCGCCCCCTCCCCTTTTGACGCCTATGACTACACATACTGTTCAAACGATAAGTACTGTTCACAGTAGAAGATCTGAGAAAAGAAACGCCCACTATACAGGGATTGAGGAAAACGAGTGCATGAACTCTGCCCGACACATCTCGTCCCGTCGCGGCGCATCGCGCAACATAATCCCATCTATTGGAAGACGGCATCAAGCATTGGAGGGACTGATCATTAGTAGCCGATTTTTGTTTTCACTTGCCAATTATCGATACGGGCAACATTCCTCAATTAATGAAAAAATGAGCTGAAGAGAGGCTTCGACATTTACTCGGTGACGGAGTTACTTTCATTTTACAAATACAGACACACCAAAAAGTAAAAAAAAATGTCTCGCATGGATTTCGGGTTCTCTGGCTATTTTATCTGTAGAAACGAAGAACTTCTCTGAAAGTGAGCAAAATGCTGAATAAACCCTCTGGCACAGCAAAACGCCGGCTAACCAACATGATTTCGTTACCATACAAATTGGCATTCAACCTACAGCCCAGGTTGCAATGCCAGTCTTTATTAAGTTAGTACGGTCAGCGATTCCACCTGGGCAAGCATTAAACCCCAAGTACTGTTCAAAAGTGGGTGAGTTTACCGAGCGAAGAAAATATTTTCTCAGTAAAAGCAGCGGAGCAGATGGATACTTCCTGGGGAAGTATATGCTATGGATAATAAAATCTAGCATTATCCTATTTATTACACGGGCAAACAAAAAAAATATACACGCAGTTCATGCCACGATGGCGAAATACAGTATTTTCGCCTGGGGGTTACGAAGGTACACATCATTTATTGAGCTAAAATCAAAGTCTTTACAGTTTCTGAGTACATTAAAAAATCAGATTTTATGCACAACTCTATAAAAACCAAGACATAAGAGACCAACGGAAATCCTCAGTGTATCCGTACATCCCTACTGTACCATTACCAAACAATATCAATATTTCGACGAAGCTGTAACTATCTGAAAAGCAACGAAAAAAAAACCACCGTATATTAAATAATAAATAAAATTCTTTAACAAATATTATATACAGCCAAGGCAACCAGTATATTTCAAAACTGTTTGAAACTTAATCCACAAAACTCCCATTAAATAACAAAACTGTAAGCGTTCTGTCACTCGCGCAAGCATGATTTTCACGACCTTTACAAATCATAATTCAGGCGAAATAACTATTGCAAAAGGCCGATGTGGTGCGTTTAGACCGATTTACTCAAAGTATGTCATACTCTAAACCACTGAAAGACCATGCTTCAAGATGTCTTCAACAAATAAACGTGCCAGCTGCGCCAAACACCAATTAGAAAAACACAGACACTTGATTAAAACGGAACGAAACGACGACTTGTTTAAACACTTGCACTTGCACAGAAAGAACCTTGGTAAACGTTTCAGAGGAAACAATTTTGATTACCCAGAATATGATTTAAAGATATTTTTAAAAGTTAATCTTGCACTTTTTTGGTTTTTTGCTTATCCGAGATGAATACAAGATACAGATATATTTCAATTTCAATTCATGAATACATCAAAAAAGATTAGAGATGATTAATGGGCAGGAAATAAATATGTATATAGAAATTCTAGTGGTAATCTAGCACTCAAGCTACACAACTAACTCTACAATGGCACAAGTACTGTTTGCGAAATTCCTGAATTCGAAAAGTGAAAAGCGACGGTGATGTGCACGCCTATAATATTGCACACGATATAAAACTTGGTTTACGGCCTACGACATGTACGGGAAGGATTGCCATAGCGCTTAAACATTTGCTCGTTATATATGTACAGTAGAGTCACATTCTTAAAGATTGGCTCATACTTGAAGAGAAAGCAAAGTTGGAGCCGATGCCATGATGTCGGCAGTTGTAGCTCCAGTCAACATCTGCCGTTTCCCTCATAAGAGACTTGTGACCAAATTCACGTAACCTATGAATCAGCTTCGAGAGGCAAATATCACAAGGGGAATGAATCAGTACCCCCCCATTGTAATCCTTCTCTCGTGAATTAAAAGAAACCCAACCCCACAGAGAGTGCTCAGCTTCGACTTGAGTTGAGAATCTTTCTGGCAACTTTTTTTTAATCTCTCTGCAGAATTCAGCAGGGCGCTGGGACAATACCTACAAAGGCTCAGGGTTCAAATGCAGAGAGAGTACAAAGCTGTTGACAATATATGAGTATTTCAAAAAACGAAGAGTATACGCACGGAGTAAATGTCACTCTGATTAGGTTTGCATCTATGCAGTCTTCACACCTAAGTACTAATTGTAAATTTGAGAATACGAACACAGCGATACAATGATTGAACAACACCGCATAAATGCGAGACACACAGGACTTGACTATATATCAGCACAAAGCTGTTGGCATGTGTTTTGAATAATGAAATACAAACACGCTGAGCTGATGGCTTTAACGTCTGATACAGTTTCCGTTGATTAGATGTTTTGTGATTAAGTTTCCAAAATGGATCAGTCCGACGATTCACAGTATTTTGACTTTCTGAAGGTCCTTGCCCAAGTCATTTTAAAGTTTGCATATGAACATATTTTACAACAAAGTGTTTTTACAAAAGGAACCAACACAAATTAACACATGCCACACTCAGGGCCTTCCTTCACCAAATTTTGATATAAAAATTTCACTTTTTTTCTCATAATGATTTTTGTATAAACCACACCAGGAAAATGACTAAAGAATACAATTTCTTGCTGACAAGATCACTGCACTGAGCCAAAAGGCCCGTCAAGAAAGTTCTTAGCAGCTGTGACTGGATTTGATTACATTTCTCGATTTACTGTGGGAAGGTGATTTGCCGGGAATTGCGTGACCTTGTCTAGCCTTGAAGCCGATTTAAATCTCCCTGGTCGCGATGAGGAGCAGAAGCTGAAGGGCTAGGAGAAGGCCCACATTCAATCTCAAGACGGACGCCGAACTGCAATCGGTATACGACTCCTGGAGGATGAGGCGAGGGATGGAGGAAAGAGAGGTGAAAGGTCAAAAACTGAAACAGAGACACAGACGGGATCAGACAGTACTAAGAGATGAAATTTCGACTTTGCCCGAGTTGCTCAGATGCTCATATAAAGATGCTCTTAATCAAGACTTTATCTAAGTAGCTCAATTGCAAACAACGACTCATTGAGATCAAACATACCTCTAATCTGGGTTAGGGTTAGAATGACAGTGGGCCTTAACTTGTCATATTTTTTCTCCCAAAACCTGGACCCCAACTGAAATGGCTTTCAAGCGTTCAGTTTGTGAAATGCAGACAAAATGCACCTAAAATATGAGAGACTGCTTCAAACAAGGAACTAACAAGCATATTATCAATTTCCAAATACTTGACACATTTGGAGGGTTCAGCGTCTAATCACTGCAAAATATCAATCTTTTTTAAAGAAGAAAACACCACAGATACCCCGATTAAAATGTGTACCCATTTTGAAAAACTGTCTACAAGTTCATTAGTTGTTACTAGTCAGTGCTACTTCCTCAGCTGTATGACTTTGTGTTGAAGTACCCATTATGGTCTGGGTTCAGTGACCTTCACTCACATTGGGGCTGAAATCGTAGCAGTGTTCGGTGGGTCTCTTGCGATAGCGGGGATGTTTGGCTGCTTCGCATGGGTTGGGACCTTCACGTGCACGCACACATCCCCAGCAGTCAAAGAAAATAAGAACCAAATTTGTCAGCACCTTTATGTTCCTGCATCAGTGTGAAACAAGGCTGATACCAGAGTCGTTTCATCTCGTTATGAGATGAGATTTGACTTCTGATCTTTGACCTTAGCCCTTAAAGAGTTAGACAATTTCAGACATTCAGGATGGGGGGGGGCAGGTGGATTTCCCCTCAGCACCTGGCTGTCCCATGCCCAATTGTTCAGAATTGTGGCATGCGTGTACAGACACTCACGATTAGTACATATTTAACGTTCAATGCAGTCTGACAAGGTTTTTTGTTTCAATCATGGAACACATCAATAGGACAAGCATACCTGTTTGCTGACCTGTCTTTTCGGGCATTTCATGAGACTAAGTCCAATTTTCATAGAAGTAGTACACAAAAGATCGTAAGATACTACTGGAAAACCCCAGAAGGCACGGTGCGACAACGTCTCCAACGCTGTCTGTTTGATTAGGTTGAAATGAGTTGACTGCAACGCATAAGACGGTAAGTACGACCGCTGCAAGTCAGGTTGTCAGGAATGAGTTGTGCAATTTCACGCATGAGAACCTTACAAAAATTCACAAAGCAACAGCTACAGTTGGCTCAAAGGGATTATCTTTGTCAAATACAAAAGTCTGACATGGAAATAAAGGATATCAGGTCCTGGTTCCTCCGGTGCTTGGGTGACCAGTTGGTTGGGACAAGCTTCACAGCCAGCTTCGGTCACCACCAGGAGCAGGTTGGTCCCGTGGATGCGGACTGCGTGCCACAACCTGCCACACAGTTCATTAAAAAAGATGCGATAGAGTTGGGGACTTTTCAGAACTGAACTTAGACAAACGGTAAACTTAACTTCTGTTTTTGAAAGAACGATCCCGCTGTGATCAAGTCCATCGTGAGTCATCTAGTCTTAGTCCAACTCAAAATGAACTGTGACAAAACGCATTCCATCGTCATTCTTCATCCTGCTTCTTATGACTGGTCTCACGGAGGGACTTATGACTGGACTTGTAAAAGGACCTGTGATGGACTCGAATACAACGCTGAGATTTTCAGTGACAGTACCCACTAGCTACCAAGATCGGGAGACCACTGCAGGTTGTCAGGCTGGTATCTTTGTATCTGAAAACTGTCCCAGGTAAAAAAAAATTCCCTTTTCCAAAAAAAAAAAAAAAAAAAGAGGCTACATGCAGGAAGTCTTAAAAAAATTAACTCGGTAGTTGAGCTTTAGTACCGTAGAATCAGACGGGATCCGGTCCCAAGCAACACATATCAAACTTCTTTTTCACTGGTAACTTGTTGCTGCCAAATTGCCAAGTGAAACTTTGTGTTGGGGCTCACAGCTCCACAAAATTGGTCCCTGGGACTGTGGGTCATAAAACGAGACTAGGTGGCTATACCTGGAGCAGTCCCCGCAGTCAATCAGGCCGCTGGTGTTCCAGGCATCACCGTAGAAGTACTGCTTCAGGATCTTGATGCAGCTGACGTTGGCCGAGGCTTCAATGTCCTCTGCTTCTACGTAGGTGCCTACAAAGGAAGGAGGAACTCATGAGATCCAGCCAAAAATTAATCACATATTGATGAAAATGAAGAGTCCAGATGAGCTGCAATCTAACATCTTCTTCCAGTGTGGACCCACTTTCACTTAGGGCTGCAATTTAAATTCGGTTTGAAATAAAACTTTAAAAGTCATGGAAAAAAGCAGAACCATCAAAAATCAATTTTTCGGTTACATCTGTATCTCATGGAATTACGTAATGAACAAGCAGAAGCTTGTACAACAGATTCACGCAGGGTTATTTGTGGAAATGGTTCATTTATTGGTTATGCCACCAAGAGTTATCTTTATTTCCAGAAATACAAATGTTGCGTAAGTTCAGGTGATTGGTGGACTGAAGTTATTCATTCTTGCACTTACTGGTCAAATCACTGATGCCAAGGAAGAGCATGTCATACAGAAAATGACGAAGGAAGGACCTGTGCAACAATAAATGATATTGATGGAATACAATTGAAAATAACAGCTTGGGAGTAGCATATTCAAAAATTCTGATATGCACCATGGTCAAACTGCTTGCTGTCAAATGGGTGTTAAAGAAAGACCAGCAAATGAGACTTGTTTAGCGCCAGTGATGGCTATGTTGATTCTGTTTGGTAAGCAGATTTGCTGCATGAAACTTCATACTTGGCAATGCCACCAAAACTGTCCGTGGTTGGAAAAGGGACTCTCACAACAAGGAATATCAATGTTACCCAAACTGACGACTGGATTACATGTATGTTAAACGATCTCTGCTGGCTTTCTAAGGCGGAGTAGTTTGGAACCAGCTTACCATGCCGCTGTGACGGCCCAAGTGTTGAAGTTCATCACATCAGAGAGAGTGGGCTGTTAAAGAACCAAAAGGAAAAGTAGGCATAAAAGTGGTTGCTTTAAATCAACAAATTAATTCACTTATATTAAGCCTTTTTAACAACTTTTTTAAAACCTGCCAAATGTAAATTGTCGGCTGGTGCAGATCAGTTTGAAATGTTTTCAAAAATGAAATGAATACATTAAGGGCCATTTTTCCAAAAAAAAATTGAGCATTTCCACTTTATGGACGGTTTTGCTGAGGGTCATCACAAACATCATCTTCATAAAAACATCAACCCACTTACCACGCTTGCCGTTCTGGGGCCAGACGATCCTGCTCCATCTTTCTGTCTGGGACATGCTGCTTGGAAATCGTTCATTGTCATCCTAAGGGAAATAAGATATATTGATCAATGAGGCCAATAGGGAGGAAATATTGACTAGCGGGGAGCAATGTTAAGAAAGTGTGAAATACTGATTAAAGAGGCTACTGTGAATGAGAAATCTTGATTCATATCAGTGGGATTAACCCTAACCCTCCTGAATCTGTCTCAAGAATGGCCAAATTGCATTGCTGATTGCAAAGGATGCATTGTCTCAAGGTTGTGGGCTAGACTTTACATTGCTTATGCTCTGTCGTGCATGAAATCATGCCTACATTAATTATATGTGAAATCCTCCATACCGCTCCAAGATACCAATCACACTGCATTAGCATAGTGACAGGAGTTGCCGGAGAAGTTTGAAGGTTGAGGGAGTGCGCACCCCTCAACAGAGCATATTCAAGAAATATTGGAGGATTTTGGAGGATTGAGGCAGATTGCAATGTTTTTGCACGGATAATGGGAGGATTTTGAAGGACTGGGGATGGTGCCTAACGAAAAGGCCCCAGGGGGCAGGGTTGAAAAGATACAGATCCATGACAAATGCCAAGCACTAATGTGTCTGTCTGTAACTCTTCTTGGCCATGAACAGAAACAGGTAAAGTCCAAACAAACAATTATTGTTTGAAACCCTAAAACATTTGTATATGAATAAGCCCCACGTAATAGTGCTCGAATGAACTCAGAAAAATAATGAGTAAGGGTGTGGAAAATCAACCGATAAAGGCAATGAAGAGAAATATTGACCATGACAATCCTCAATCCTTCAACAGGTGAAATATTGACCACCGTTAGGGTTAGGAATATTGATATGTGAAGGCAATAGAAAGAATGTTGATCTGAGATGCTATTGCCAAGAATATTGATCTTCGTGGGTGGCATTAAGAAACAATGACTCACGAGGATACGAGATTAATTAAGGGTTGTCTGATCATTATGCTGGAAGAATTATACTTCTGCTCTTGATACAAGAGAAACTGATAAAGAGACGTGTTTTAATCACTTCATGCCGGGGCACTTTTCAATGTTGATGATGCTGGGCTGGCATAAGTATCATTTTTTCCGTTTTCAAAATTCTTCAAAAATTCATCATTTCATTTAACGGACGTTTACAGCCGCACGAAGTAATCTTTAGGCACTATTTTAAGTTGACAGGTGGCCTTCATTGACGCCCGAGTATTTCAGCCAGGCTTGCAGGCTTGTAAAAAGAGCCCAGATTGTGCGGTGTTATGTAACTTTCTTTTGTTCACGAACCTGGCTCAGTGCACTGCTGACCTCTTTTCAATAGGGGCCAGATTAGCGTGCAGTGGTGCTGTGTGGCTCATCGCTGAGGTGGTGGAGTGCCTTTGTCCCCGGTGGTAATCCGCTCGCTATAAATGCCCCAAAGCCTGGTATAGGGTTTCAAAACAAGGCTGGATTGTCACCACTTTTAAGAGTGAAAAATGTTGATAATGCCCAGCAGCCTGGTCTTTTGTTCGGAGTACGGTCTTTTGTTACAGGGCCCTGTTTCCTTTGTCCGAGTTCAGAGACCCCGGCCACGCACATAAAGCATACGTCTCCGATTCCGGTGTCCCCGGCAGGAAGTGCTTAAGGAAGGAAGAAAGTTACACTCACAGGTCGTAAACAGTTTTGTTTTTGAGATCCAGCATCACGTCGCCGTCAATAAGCCCAAAGAAACTACCCACCTGGGAAAGAAATAAAAGAGAAGACAGACTTTCTGGTCAACTATCACTGTTTCCTTCTGCAACAATCAAATGGCAGATTTGGCTGAGCAGAACTCAAAACTGCTGTGAAGATAAAGAGTTGTGAACACAGAAGGGTCTCTGATCTACTTAAAGTCGAGCATGCGTGTGCCTGTGTGACAAAGCCCACATCACATGCAGCATAGTAGTGGAAGGCAACGATTGTTCAACGGCTTATTCTAAACATTCTGTTCAAAGATTGTAACCGCAACCCACGGTCAATGATTCTACCAACATCCGACAATAAATCAACATGCACTGTCGAACACAGTCACTGCTATCTGATGGGATTTGTGGTGCTGAAAAAGCACCAACCTCCCGTGGGTCCCGCAGAAACTAAAGGTCTTCAAATCAAATCAGTCTGATTAAAGCACCACTTTAGCTGTATGAGACGGTGTCTAACCACTTGATGCCGGTGTAAACACACAAAATGTTCCTTATTTGTTCCCTGGATGACGTGTGCACTAGTTTTGGAATTCTTCTTTCATTTCTGACGTTGATGTATTAACCACTTGTTGCCGGGTGCTTTTTTAACCGTTACATGTGCTGCCGGGCAGTTTTTTCATATTTTCGTTTTTCAAAAATCTTCAAAAATTCATATCTTTTTTCTGAACGCCTAAACCCCATATAATGAGTGTCCCGTGGCGAGTCTAGCCCTCACAAGCAACTTCCATTGACCCTTCGGTTTTGCGGCCACGCTGCCCGCTCTGTATAGAGCCCCCATTGTGTGTGTTACATAAGGGCTCGTTTGTTCCGGGCTTTGGCCCAGTGCGTTGCTATGCCGCCGTGTTGCTATGCGGAGCTATTGACGGTTAAGACCTCAGTGTGTAATATGCGGTGAGTGAATGGGAAGCTGTGCACGTGCACTGGGCTTTGTCAACTGTTCAATGAGTGCGGGCAATGACGGACAAATGAATTCATGCTGTAAAAAAAGGGGTCTAAAAGTGTGGCTTTTTCCGGCACTGCTGCATGTAACTTTTGCTATTTTTTGAAGCTATTGGGTTTTTTTCTGTTATATATCTACCAAACATATCTCCCCCAAACCACTCTCATATTTTATCTCCCAACTTGTTCATTTTCCCTCCCATAGTGTAAGATATTTCCCTTCCCAAACTTTATTTCCCAAACAATTTCAAGTAAAATTTAGAAACCGATGAAATCAAGTACACATAGAAATACACACACAGACAAATATTTGGAGAGAACTTCTTTTTCTCTTATTTTCTTCTTGTTATTTCTCTTGTGTTTTCTTTTCAAGGACTCGTCGAACAGAAGCTCACGGACAAGACTCAAGCGGTAGTCGAGGAAGGAGAGGCGGTGACCAACAGCCAGGTACACAGCGTAGCTGTTCACCAGTGTCAAGTCGAGCAGGTAGAAGAAGAGCTTCTTGTACCACTTGAGGGACTTACGAGTTGCTCGATGATTTGCCACTAGTTGGTCGCTCTTGTCAATGCCCCCCATCAGGGCGTTGTATTCGATGACGCAGGTCGGTTTCTGCTTTTCCTGCCCCATCCTGTCTTGCTTGCCGGTGCCAGGGATGTCTGCCGTATGCATGGTGGAGAGCATACGGATGTTGCGCTTGTCTTGCCACACCATGGCCAGGAGAGAACCGCTGACACCCAGGTCGGCTGACCGGAACGCTGTTTCGCCCCGCTTCAGCTTGATGGACTGCAGGTCTTTCGGCATCCCTTTTCTGTTCGCCATGGTGTTGCCGACGACGTTGAACTTCTGGTTGTGAAGTCGTCGAAACAAATCGGGACTGCTGAAGGCCCGGTTGAGGGCAAGGTTGTAGCCCTTGCCACTTAGGTCGTTCACCAGGTCCATCACCACCTGTGTAGTTGCTGGGAGGTCTCCTTTCCTTTGGCCGGTGTAGATTTTGAAGTTGTAGCAGTACCCGGCGGCACTCCCGGTGCTCTGGCACAACTTGTACATCTTGATGCCGAAGCGGGCCCTCTTTCTGGGGTTGTAGGTAGCGAAGCGGAGACGCCCGTAAAACTTCAGCAGGGAGTCCTCAACGGAAATGTCCCGTTGAGGAACGTAGACAGTGGCAAACTTCTGAGCAAGATGGTCGACGACTGGGCGCACTTTGAAGAGGCGGTCGGTGCAGTCATCTGGCATGGCAGTGTTATCGTTAAAGTGCAGGGACTGCAGGATGGCAAGGAAGCGATCTCGGGGCATGACAGACGGGAATAGGCTCATCTTCAGTAGTGGTAAAGGCTTAAGGGGGGTATTTATTTTCTGTGACACAGTCTTGGTAACTTACATGTCTCTGGTAAACTTCCTGGTTGGTTGCTACGATAAATCCGCCGTCGTCGAGCAAGTAGCACTGGACACTCTGCAAAGGATATGAAGAGATGTTTTAATTTCTGACCAAATGTCCATTTGGGAGGAAACAAATGGGGGGGGGGAAGCTGTTGGTGTTGGTCTAGTTTCAACCTGAAACTAGACCCTTGCTTTGGGCTCTGGCCGAACCTGTCACTTCGTTGAGCAGCTGAGCTGTAGGGCTGTCTGTTTGACGCACTCTGTCCAGCAGCCTGGATATTTCGTAATTGTTTTGGACTGTTTTGTTGTTGATTTATCAGTTATTGTAACTGCCTTATTCACGGTACATGTATGTCTCTCAAGTCAGCCCTTTTCTTGTGATTGAAAAAAACCTTGTTCTGAAGTATTTTTGCTTTTTTTTCTTTTAAAAGAAGATACCGCATGCAATCACATTACTTAAAATAAAACAAAAATTGAAGAAGTCTGAATTTTATCACACCTGGAGATACATTTTCTTTTAAAGTTCTTGCTAGTATGCCCGCTTAGACTAAAATACCACTACATACAGCTTCAACTCACCTCATTCAAGCATGACTGTTTTTCACTCTCAAAAGTGTAGTATGCCTGCATCCAAAACAAAAACAAAAAAGAAAGACCCAAAATAGTTTTTGATGTCACTATAAGCAGCCTCCAAACAGGTCATTATACCAAAATTGCATTGTTTCAGACCCGCTTGGGGGGCCGTGTGGCCAAGTGGTTAGGGTTTGTGGCTTCCAATCATAGGGTTGGAGGTTCGAATCCAGCTGTTGGGAGTACGTTGGGGCCCTTGGCAAGCCACTTCACCCCTGCTTGCCTCTCTCCACTCAGGAGTATGTTGGGGGACCAACATTAGCTGGGGAATCAACCTGTGATGGACTGGCATCCCATCCCATCGGGGGGGGGATAAAAATACTGCACAAGTCAAATTTAAAGTAGAGAAAGGCCACTTTTTAAGACCCCTCTTTATCTCCGGAAAAAAAACCAGAGGGACGTATGGAAGATGTTAATCTCTTGTCGTGAGGGTTGTGATTCTGTCAGGAACAATTTCTTTCAATTCAAAATTCGAACAGTGCATTGTGATCGTCATGAGAAGACTGAAGGGAGCTTCGGTAGTGGAGGCTGGCATTCAGAAGTTAAAGCGGGAGATGCTGGATACCAAGTAGGATGCCAAGGTGGACTAGGATGTGTGCATGTTCACTGAGGTACGTTAGCAGGGTGGGGGTACAGCTAGAGGTGACCATCAAGCAGAGGACCCAAGGCAGAACTAATTCCATGTGGAAGGGGAACACTGTTGGGGTTGGTCGGGGTTCACGGGCACAAAAGACCCACTGGACATGTGATGAAGGTCAGGTCACCTGATATTGCTGATGTGGTACCCCATTTCTTGTGGTACTTGTACATCGAGCAGAGTTCCAAGGGTACAGGAAACCAATAATGGACAGAAGCTTGTCAAGTTCTCACCTCTTTCGTTCGGCCTATCCACATGTCGTTGAACTCACCAGGATCCAGACTGACAGCAACCACTGAATAAAATGAGAAAGAAACCAGAAAAATTATTATGACTTTTTCAGGATTTGGTCTTGAAAAGCTTACGGCACTCGGCCAAGTCAGGGATCTTGCACTAGAGCCACTAGCTAACCATTTGATTAATACCAGGTTCATATGAATTACAGAAGGCTGTGCGTCACAGGTAGCTACCAGAGTAACCAACTGCTAATGTTGGGAGCCATTTCTAAATTATGAAACCTGGTAAAAATTACATTTTTTCTTTTAAGAAATAGAATAAATTAGGGATGGCCACTCGGAATGATAAGCATATTTCATATTGATTAATGTCTAAACGTCATTGTTAGTGTCATATTGATTAACGTCTAAACGTCATTGTTAGTGTCATATCGATTAACGTCTCAACGTCATTGTTAGTGTCATATCGATTAACGTCTCAACGTCATTGTTAGTGTCATATCGATTAATGTCT